TGGCCTGCTCGCTCTCCAGATCTTTCTCCAATTGAACACATGTGGAATGAAATGGACCGCTATCTCCCACGTTTGCCACGTGCTCCGACTACAGACAGGAACTGAGAGACAGACTGGGGGAGATATGGGATGCCATCCCACAATACTGTTAGACCTTTGATCCGTTCAATACGAGGGAGATTTATTGTAGGCATCCAAGCAGGAGGGGGACACACACTACTGACGTGTGAATTGATAATTCTGTTCACGTCATTTCTATGCCAGACCGGTCGTTTTGTAGGACCTGAAAAGACCCTACAGTCCATACATGCACATCAGAAGAGATCTCCCAGCCTACAACAGACAGTGTTTCAATATCTAGAATCAAAGCTTTGAAATCAAAGGACTCTAATACAAATTCCTACATTCAGAACCAAGTCGTTCAACGATCGCCTTCCAAACCAAGAAACTTAACCAGCAAAACTAACAGTAGTACAGGTGTTAACTTAATGTTCACTGGAATTAAGAGGAAAAGAGTTCTCAAACTAGTTCTATCACGAATCGAAATGGACTCTCCATTCGACACCATTGAAAGAGCTATTGGTAACTACGCCTCAGATAATCATGCAAGAGTTACTCATATTCGTCTCATGAAAACATGGCGTGACAACCGCGGCAACAACACATCCTACACAATACAAGTAAACATTGATGCTGAAGATGCTGATAAAATAACTGATGACTTCTGGCCTGAAGGTGTACTCTGCAGACAATATGTACCCAGATCCGAGATGAACCGTTCGGATAACTACAGGCCACGTAAGCAAGCTGAACACTATTCACGTGAACGTGATGAAGAGTGGCCACGGAACAACGATGAGGACTGGTCACGTGGTCGTGACGGAGTATGGTCACGCGATCCTGTAAGACAACGTGAACGATATTGGAAAAGTGACCACTAGGATATAACATATATTCACCATGAACATAAACTTCATTTGTACCCTATACATTTTAATGTGCACCCTTCGAATATCGACCTGGAATGTCAGGGGAGTTATGTATGGAACACCACGGCTCATCTCGCTCCTTAATAACAACGATGTGGTTGTTATTACCGAACACTGGCTAAAAGCAGACAATCTCAACTATCTTCATTCATTGGATAATAAATTTAATGTAAGCGCAGTGATCTGTGATGATACCTGTGCCAGTAATCGTGGATCTGGGGGTATTGCTATTTTACTCAGGACATCAACAGAATACACAGCGAAGCAAGTACCCTCTGAAGATAATCACGTTGTGATAACAAGGATTGTTAGACCTACGTTTGAAGATTTATATGTACTTGGGACAAGGCTACCTTCAACTAATCGGAGCACTAGCCAGTATAGAGACGCCTTGGATGCAATATGTAACACTTATGACAAATATTCCTGTGTCGGAACATGTGTAATAGCTGGCGACCTCAACGCTGATATTAACCACTATCCAACTAGCCAAAGGACAAAGCTTCTAACGGAACGCCTATTCAACGAAAGGAATATAATAACAACATCCACTATCTGCCCTGAAGTGCCCAAAGCTACCTTTCGCTCCAAGGACAATACGAGGAAGTCAACTGTGGACTACATATGCGTCCCTGAATATATGCGAGGCTACACAGATAGCTACAATGTCAATACTGACGTGTCATATGATGTATCTGATCACTATCCGGTATGCAGCATACTTCGTATACAACGTTGCTCGTCCTTCAACTATCGCTCCTCTAAGATCTCAGTCAAATGGTCAAAACTGATGATACAGATATTAAATTGTACAGCAGCGAAGTTGATAAGCTCCTGAACTTCACCATGGACAGTAACCAGCAGACAGACATGGTATCTTTGATAGAGAGATACAACTCACGTGTAACAAACAGTCTCCTCTCAGCCTCGGTAACAACAATCCCTAATGGTGTTTATCGACATTACCTTCGACCTTACTGGAAGTCGGATAAACTGGATGCCTACCATTATGATATGAGATGTCACCGCAGAGAATGGAAACGAGCAGGTAGACCACGTGATGAGCAGTCAATACTATATAAAAACTACCAAAATGCTAAAAGAAACTTTCGCAGGAATAAACGTCAAGCCGAATGTAGACTTGCAGAAGCGCTATACAGGGATATTGAACAGAGTTGTAATGTAGATGTGGACTACTTTTACAGGAGAATCAAAAGTATCAGAAGGAAACAGTCAACAATCAACACTTGAAGTACAACGACAAAGTAGCAGATGATCCTATCAGTAGTGTTAACACTTGGCAAGACTATTTCAGGGATTTAGCAACTCCTGACTATTCAAACAGGACAAGATAACACTATCCTGAAAGACCCATTTACATCAGAAGAGATTAGCTGTGTGGTGAAGACACTAAAATACCGAAAGTCCTCCGGTCCTGATGGAGTGACTAATGAACATATAAGGCATGCTGGAGATAGGTTACTACATCATCTTGTGATTCTCTTTAACCTAATACTAAAACACAAGTATTCTTCGTTACCTTACAGAACTGGATTCACAATCGCACTTTGTAAACAAAATGGAAAAGACAAATGTGACCCCCAAAACTACCGCGGTATCACCATTACATCAGCTATCGGAAAACTGCTAGAGAAAGTAATCATGGAGAGAATACAGAGTTGGATCAACTGTAACATTATATTCCCCGATGACTTACAGTTTGGATTTCGGAAGAGTAGTGGGGCTCAGTTTGCAGCACTAACTCTGCAAGAATGTATTGCATATTTCAAACAATGCAAGTCAGTACTCTACTGCACTTTTCTCGATAACGAAAAAGCGTTTGATAAGATTTGGCACAATGGAGTGCTGAAAAAACTATTCACTCTTGGAATAAATGGAAAGTGCTGGCGATTTATCAAACATTCTTATACCACAGCAAGATCTTATATTACATTTCAAGGTCAGCAATCAGAATACTTTGCAATATGTAGAGGTGTTGGACAAGGAAGAGTCCTATCAGCATGGCTTTTTCTGGTTTACGTTGATGAACTTATTAAAGAACTGAAACGTACAGGCACTGGCATCCAAATAGCAAACATGACCATTCCGACGTTACTGCTGGCAGATGATACTACCTTACTTTGTACTACACTTAAAGGCATGCAGGACCTCATAGACACTGTAGACGTGTATGCTCTGAGATGGAGACTTACCTACAACCTGTCCAAAAGCTGTGTCATTGCTTTCAACACGAGCGTTAAACTGCTATTGTCATTTAACCTCACCATAGGCGGAGAAACAATTAATAGAGTTGAGCAGACGAGATATGCAGGAGTTATCTTCTCCCATAACACCTTGACTAAACGACGAATTGAATCAGCATGTCACAAAGCATTGAAAGCTCTAAACTCTCTATATACATTCAGATTAAATGTCCATGGGTTTAATCCTATCATTAGTGCAAAGATATGGCGAACTGTTATCTTGCCAAATGCTCTCTACTCATGTGAGTTGTTCACCAACATAACTGATGCTTCATACACAAAACTGGAAACCACCCAGAGAACGTTTGCCCGACGTGCACAAGGATTCCCTTGTAGATCAGCATGGGAGCCCACCATAACAGCAGTTGGACTATGGTCCATGCATACATATATAGACAAATGTAAACTGTTATTCTTTGGTCGACTATGTAAAACAGAATAATTCCTTTATAACGAAGAAACTTTTCTTATGGCTATTAGGCAACTGTATAGCAGGATTCAACATCAACAGCAGTTTTATACAAGAGACAGTTTAACTGTTTAGAAAATATAATATAAAAGAAATACTGCTTGCTTATCTTAAATATGGCACTTTTATGGACAAACAGAGATGGTGCTCTGTGGTCAAGAAGGTTCTTAATCAATATGAACAGTCATTAAACTCCAGCGTGCCTCACAACAAACCAGGGCTACAAACCTTTTATGAAATTCACCCGACAGTGCGTATGCATCATTTGTGGAAAATAGCATACGTTCATCCAACACACAAACTCTACATATCATCCATGATATATCTGGCATCAATAAAACCTGGTTATGTCACATGTACACTATGTCACAACATAGTACCGGACTGTACAAAACATGTCATCATTGACTGTGAAGGACCCATACAACAGAGAAATCAGATGTGCGATAAACTTTCTTCACTGCTGCATATAAACGATTTTATTAACTTTTGTGACCAGGATGACACTGCAATGTTGAACTGTTTGCTTGGAGGAGATGACAACACCTTATGTCGTGTTGATTTTAGCACTTGGATACGATTTGTGTTGGTTGTCTCAAAGTTTGTACATATTTGCAGGTTACACATCAAACAAAACATGTGATAACCGTTACTGTTCACAAGCTCCTACTTAGAAGGACATTGTATTCATTTTTTTGGTTATCTGCGTTTTGTTCACTACAGGTCATCTATGATTTGACCTAACTTACTGTCATATGTACTATTCAGTTATTTGAGGAAATAAAGAATGTCTGTCTGTCCGCCACGTGCTCCGACTACAGACAGGAACTGAGAGACAGACTGGGGGAGATATGGGATGCCACCCCACAATACTGTTAGACCTTTGATCCGTTCAATACGAGGAAGATTGATTGTAGGCATCCAAGCAGGAGGGGGACACACACTACTGACGTGTGAATTGATAATTCTGTTCTTACATCTTGATCACGTCATTTCTATGCTAGACCAGTCGTTTTGTAGGACCTGAAACGACCCTACAGTCACATACAGGCACCTCATAAGAGATCTCCCAGCCTACAACAGACAGTGTTGTAACATCTTCATCACGTCATTTCTATGCCAGACCAGTGTCATTAAATGTGTAATGTTGTTTTCATGGTCCATTGTCCGTATATTCGAATCAAATATTCTTATCTCTCACATATTGTCTCACAATGTACGCATATACTTGCTTGAATCGCTCCCTAACACGCTGCTTATTTTAAAACTGTCATCTAGACCCGCGCTGTGACGAGAGATCGTTCCGGTGTGGAAACTCAGCGTGTATTCCCGACAAGTGGCGATGTGACGGAGAACCAGATTGTTCCGATCACTCCGACGAATTACACTGTGGTGAGGACACAATGCGTTACAGTGCACTGATCCTATAGTCCGGCGTTTGGCCTGGTGTCACAGTGATGAATGAGTGAACGTGTGAGTTAGGATTAACAATCACGATTTAATCGGCAGTATTTCAGCCATATCGTGACGATAGAGTAATGAATGGCCTGGGTGTCATTTCACTGAATGGCATGGGTGAGGATATAGTGAATGGCCTGGGTGTCACTGTAGTGAATGGCATGGGTGACGATATAGTGAATGGCCTGGGTGTCACTGTAGTGAATGGCCTGGGTGTCACTGTAGTGAATGGCCTGGGTGTCACTGTAGTGATTGGCATGGGTGACGATATAGTGAATGGCCTGGGTGTCACTGTAGTGAATGGCATGGGTGACGATATAGTGAATGGCCTGGGTGTCACTGTAGTGATTGGCATGGGTGACGATATAGTGAATGGCCTGGGTGTCACTGTAGTGATTGGCAAGGGTGACGATATAGTGATGGCCTGGGTGTCACTGTAGTAAATGGCCTGGGGGACACTGTAGTAAATGGCCTGGTTGTCACTGTAGTGAATGACCTGGGTGTCCTTATAGTGATAGCCCGGTTGACACTGTAGTGAATGGCCTGGGTGACACTGTAGTGAATAGACTGGGTATCACTGTAGTGAATGTCCCCGGTGACACTGTAGTAAATTGTCTGGGTGTCACTTTAGTGAATGGCCTTGGTGACACTGTAGAGAACGGCTTGGGTGTCACTGTAGTGAATGGCCTGGCTGACACTGTAGTGAATTGTCCTGTTGAAACCGTATTGAATTGCCTGGATGAAACTGAAGTGAATGGCCTGGGTGTCACTGTAGTGAATGGCCCGGGTGACGCTGTAGTGAATGGCCCAGCCAGGGCAAACTGTAGTGAATGGCCTGGGTGTCACTGTAGTCAATGGCCTGGGTGTCACTTCATTCAATGTCATGGGTGTCATTTCAGTGAATGGCATGGGTGAAACTTAAGTGAATTGTCTGGGTGTCACTGCAGTGAATGGCCCGGGTGACGCTGTAGTGAATGACATGGGTGTCACTGTAGTGAATGGCCTGGGTGACACTGTAGTGAATAGACTGGGTATCACTGTAGTGAATGTCCCCGGTGACACTGTAGTAAATTGTCTGGCTGTCACTTCAGTGAATGGCCTTGGTGACACTGTAGAGAACGGCTTGGGTGTCACTGTAGTGAATGGCCTGGCTGACACCGTATTGAATTGCCTGGATGAAACTGAAGTGAATGGCCTAGGTGTCACTGTAGTGAATGGCCTGGGTGACACTGTAGTGAATGGCCTTGGTGACACTGTAGTAAATTGTCTGGGTGTCACTTCAGTGAATGGCCTTGGTGACACTGTAGAGAACGGCTTTGGTGTCACTGTAGTGAATGGCCTGGCTGACACTGTAGTGAATTGTCCTGTTGACACCGTATTGAATTGCCTGGATGAAACTGAAGTGAATGGCCTGGGTGTCACTGTAGTGAATGGCCTTGGTGACACTGTAGTGAATGGCCTGGCTGTCACTTCAGTGAATGGCCTGGTTCACACGGTAATGAATGGCCTAGGTGTCACTTCAGTGAATTGCCAGGCTCTCACTTCAGTGAATGGCCTGACTGACACTGTTGTGAATGGCCGGATGAAACTGTAGTGAATGGCCCCGGTGACACTGTAGTGAATTGTCTGGGTGTCACTGTAGTGAATGGCCTGGGTGTCACTGTATTGAATGGCCTGGGTGTCACTGTATTGAATGGCCTGGGAGTTACTGTTGTATATTGTCTGGGTGTAACTTCAGTGAATGGCCTCGTTGACACTGTAGTGAATGGGCTGTGTTACGCTGAAGTGAATGGACTGGGTGTAACTGTAGTGAACTGTCTGGGTGTCACTTCAGTGAATGGCCTTGTTGACACTGTAGTGAATGGCCTGGTTGACACTGTAGCGAATGGCCTGGGTGACACTGTTGTGAATTGCCATGGTGACACTGTAGTGAATTGTCTGGGTGTCACTTCAGTGAATGGCCTTTTTGACACTGTAGTGAATGGCCTGGATGACACTGTAGTGAATGGCCTGGGTGACACTGTTGTGAATGGCCATGGTGACACTGTAGTGAATGGCCTGGTTGACACTGTAGTGAATGGCCTGGGTGACACTGTTGTGAATTGCCATGGTGACACTGTAGTGAACTGTCTGGGTGTCACTTCAGTGAATGGCCTTTTTGACACTGTAGTGAATGGCCTGGTTGACACTGTAGTGAATGGCCTGGGTGACACTGTTGTGAATTGTCATGGTGAAACTGTAGTGAATGGCCTGGTTGACACTGTAGTGAATGGCCTTGGTGAAACAATTGTGAATTGCCATGGTGACACTGTAGTGAATTGCCTGGGTGACACTGCAGTGAATGGCCTGGCTGACACTGTAGTGAATGGCCTGGCTGGCACTGTAGTGAATGGCCTTGGTGACACTGTAGTGAATCGTATAGGTGTAGCTGTAGTGAATCGTCTTGGTGTCACAGTAATGAATGGCCTGGGTGTCACTTCAGTGAGTGGCCTTGGTGTCAATGTAATGAATGGCCTGGTTGACACTGTAGTGAATCATCTAGGTGTTGCTGTAGTTAATGGACTGGCTGACACTGTAGTGAATGACCTGTGTGTCACTTCAGTGAATGGCCTCGGTGTCACTTTACTGAATGACCCGGGTGTCACTTTAGTGAATGGCCTGGGTGTAACTTCAGTGAATGGCCTTGTTGTCACTTCAGTGAATGGCCTGAATGACACTGTAGTGAATGACTTGTGTGACACTGTTGTGAATTGCCTTCGTGACATTGTAATGAATGACCTGTGTGTCACTTCAGTGAATGGCACGGGTGTAACTTCAGTGAATGGCCTGAATGACACTGTAGTGAATGACCTGTGTGTCACTTCAGTGAATGGCACGGGTGTCATAGAAATGAATGACCTGGGTGTCACTTCAGTGAATGGCCTGAATGACACTGTACTGAATGACCTGTGTGACACTGTTGTGAATTGTCTTCGTGACATTGTAATAAATGACCTGTGTGTCACTTCAGTGAATGGCCTCTGTGGCACGGGTGTCAAAGAAATGAATGGCCTGGGTGTCGGTGTAATGAATGGCCTGGATGTCGGTGTAATGAATTGCCTGGGTGTCGGTGTAATGAATGGCCTGGATGTCGGTGTAATGAATGGCCTGGGTGTCAAAGAAATGAATGGCCTGGGTGTCGGTGTAATGAATGGCCTGGATGTCGGTGTAATGAATGGCCTGGATGTCGGTGTAATGAATGGCCTGGATGTCGGTGTAATGAATTGCCTGGATGTCGGTGTAATGAATGGCCTGGATGTCGGTGTAATGGATGGGCTGGATGTCGGTGTAATGAATGGCCTGGATGTCGGTGTAATGAATTGCCTGGATGTCGGTGTAATGAATGGCCTGGATGTCGGTGTAATGAATGGCCTGGATGTCGGTGTAATGAATGGCCTGGTGTCGGTGTAATGAATTGCCTGGATGTCGGTGTAATGAATGGCCTGGATGTCGGTGTAATGAATTGCCTGGATGTCGGTGTAATGAATTGCCTGGATGTCTGTGTAATGAATGGCCTGGATGTCGGTGTAATGAATTGCCTGGATGTCGGTGTAATGAATGGCCTGGATGTCGGTGTAATGAATGGCCTGGATGTCGGTGTAATGAATGGCCTGGATGTCGGTGTAATGAATGGCCTGGGTGTCAGTGTAATGAATGGCCTGGATGTCGGTGTAATGAATGGCCTGGATGTCGGTGCAATGAATGGCCTGGGTGTCGGTGCAATGAATGGCCTGGGTGTCGGTGCAATGAATGGCCTGGATGTCGGTGTAATGAATTGCCTGGATGTCGGTGTAATGAATGGCCTGGGTGTCGGTGTAATGAATGGCCTGGATGTCGGTGTAATGAATGGCCTGGATGTCGGTGTAATGAATGGCCTGGATGTCGGTGTAATGAATGGCCTGGATGTCGGTGTAATGAACTGCCTGGGTGTCGGTGTAATGAATGGCCTGGATGTCGGTGTAATGAATGGCCTGGATGTCGGTGTAATGAACTGCCTGGGTGTCGGTGTAATGAATGGCCTGGGTGTCGGTGTAATGAATGGCCTGGATGTCGGTGTAATGAATGGCCTGGATGTCTGTGTAATGAACTGCCTGGGTGTCGGTGTAATGAATGGCCTGGATGTCGGTGTAATGAATGGCCTGGATGTCGGTGTAATGAATGGCCTGGGTGTCGGTGTAATGAATGGCCTGGGTGTCGGTGTAATGAATGGCCTGGATGTCTGTGTAATGAATGGCCTGGATGTCGGTGTAATGAACTGCCTGGGTGTCGGTGTAATGAATGGCCTGGATGTCGGTGTAATGAATGGCCTGGATGTCGGTGTAATGAATTGCCTGGGTGTCGGTGTAATGAATGGCCTGGATGTCGGTGTAATGAATGGCCTGGATGTCGGTGTAATGAATGGCCTAGATGTCGGTGTAATGAATGGCCTGGGTGTCGGTGTAATGAATTGCCTGGGTGTCGGTGTAATGAATGGCCTGGATGTCGGTGTAATGAATGGCCTGGATGTCGGTGTAATGAATGGCCTAGATGTCGGTGTAATGAATGGCCTGGATGTCTGTGTAATGAACTGCCTGGGTGTCGGTGTAATGAATGGCCTGGATGTCGGTGTAATGAATGGCCTGGATGTCGGTGTAATGAATGGCCTGGGTGTCGGTGTAATGAATGGCCTGGGTGTCGGTGTAATGAATGGCCTGGATGTCGGTGTAATGAATGGCCTGGATGTCGGTGTAATGAACTGCCTGGGTGTCGGTGTAATGAATGGCCTGGATGTCGGTGTAATGAATGGCCTGGATGTCGGTGTAATGAATTGCCTGGGTGTCGGTGTAATGAACTGCCTGGATGTCGGTGTAATGAATGGCCTGGATGTCGGTGTAATGAATGGCCTAGATGTCGGTGTAATGAATGGCCTGGATGTCGGTGTAATGAATTGCCTGGGTGTCGGTGTAATGAATGGCCTGGATGTCGGTGTAATGAACTGCCTGGATGTCGGTGTAATGAATTGCCTGGGTGTCGGTGTAATGAATGGCCTGGATGTCGGTGTAATGAACTGCCTGGATGTCGGTGTAATGAACTGCCTTGGTGTCGGTGTAATGAATGGCCTGGATGTCGGTGTAATGAATGGCCTGGGTGTCACGGGAATGAATGGGCACACATTAATTACAGACAACCTTTTGTGGTAATCCTGAAATATTATGTTTGATACTAGTTTTTGTATGACAACTGATGAAAATATGTAATTGCTGAATAAGGAAATGTACTTTAATATTGACAACACCTCCAGTCCCAATCATAGCACGCGTCACAATGAGACTGAGAATTAGTTTATAAAAGTGTTCATTTTGTGTTCAGAAAATTCCTTGTGTTATGTCGCCCATTATTACCACCTGCGACTGACGTTTTTTGTCATTTGGAGCTGTTCCTTATCATGTGATATACTATGTGTCTCTGGCGCATCAAGAGGCCAGCGCAACCGCAACAACTCCCCCGCTGACAACACCGTCATCAGCTACCGGAGACGCCCTAACTAGAACTGTGACGTCACCTGCTACCACGGGCACTACTACTACACAAGTAAATATTGTTGGAAATGCATCGGACATGTCTGGTGAGTTTACAGAGAAAGTAGATCTTGACGTGATTAAGTACAATAACCTGAAGAACCGGGGTCTTCATTTGAAGCATCATATACTGTATATTGAGTCCCAAAGCATTAAGGGGGTCAATATAATTTTCTGGGAAATTTTCTATGATAATCACGGGAAATTTGCGTGAAAGACCCACTACTTGTTGATTCACAGCTTCAAGACACGAAGTAAGGCTTCTGGACTGATTCTGGCTTAACAGCTTGTTTCACGACACAGGACACCAAACAAAGTCAACAATTGTGGTTTGTGAAACCTGAAACAAAAATATGTTTCCACTATATCCTGGGACAGATTGTTTAAATCTCATGATATTGCACACTTATCTATGGTGTCTCGTTTCCAGATAACAACAGAGTTTTGAACTCTTATGGGCGTTGTGTATGCCTCAGCCCGGGGACTCCCCATCTCTCCAGTCTCTGCTGTGTAAAGGCCAATGGCTTGTATATGCCTCAGCCCGGGTACTCCCCATCTCTCCAGTCTCTGCTGTGTGAAGGCCAATGGCTTGTATATGCCTCAGCCCGGGGACTCCCCATCTCTCCAGTCTCTGCTGTGTAAAGGCCAATGGCTTGTATATGCCTCAGCCCGGTGACTCCCCATCTCTCCAGTCTCTGCTGTGTGAAGGCCAATGGCTTGTATATGCCTCAGCCCGGTGACTCCCCATCTCTCCAGTCTCTGCTGTGTGAAGGCCAATGGCTTGTATATGCCTCAGCCCGGTGACTCCCCATCTCTCCAGTCTCTGCTGTGTAAAGGCCAATGGCTTGTATATGCCTCAGCCCAGTGACTCCAAATATCTCCAGTCTCTGCTGTGTGAAGGCCAATGGCTTGTGTATGCCTCAGCCCGGTGACTCCAAATATCTCCAGTCTCTACTGTGTGAAGGCCAATGGCTTGTATATGCCTCAGCCCGGTGACTCCAAATATCTCCAGTCTCTGCTGTGTGAAGGCCAATGGCTTGTGTATGCCTCAGCCCGGTGACTCCAAATATCTCCAGTCTCTGCTGTGTGAAGGCCAATGGCTTGTATATGCCTCAGCCCGGGTACTCCCCATCTCTCCAGTCTCTGCTGTGTGAAGGCCAATGGCTTGTATATGCCTCAGCCCGGGTACTCCCCATCTCTCCAGTCTCTGCTGTGTAAAGGCCAATGGCTTGTATATGCCTCAGCCCGGTGACTCCCCATCTCTCCAGTCTCTACTGTGTGAAGGTCAATGGCTTGTATATGCCTCAGCCCGGTGACTCCCCATCTCTCCAGTCTCTGCTGTGTAAAGGCCAATGGCTTGTATATGCTTCAGCCCGGGGACTCCCCATCTCTCCAGTCTCTGCTGTGTGAAGGCCAATGGCTTGTATATGCCTCAGCCCGGTGACTCCAAATATCTCCAGTCTCTGCTGTGTGAAGGCCAATGGCTTGTGTATGCCTCAGCCCGGTGACTCCAAATATCTCCAGTCTCTACTGTGTGAAGGCCAATGGCTTGTATATGCCTCAGCCCGGGTACTCCCCATCTCTCCAGTCTCTGCTGTGTGAAGGCCAATGGCTTGTATATGCCTCAGCCCGGTGACTCCCCATCTCTCCAGTCTCTGCTGTGTAAAGGCCAATGGCTTGTATATGCCTCAGCCCGGTGACTCCCCATCTCTCCAGTCTCTACTGTGTGAAGGTCAATGGCTTGTATATGCCTCAGCCCGGTGACTCCCCATCTCTCCAGTCTCTGCTGTGTAAAGGCCAATGGCTTGTATATGCTTCAGCCCGGGGACTCCCCATCTCTCCAGTCTCTGCTGTGTGAAGGCCAATGGCTTGTATATGCCTCAGCCCGGTGACTCCCCATCTCTCCAGTCTCTGCTGTGTAAAGGCCAATGGCTTGTGTATGCTTCAGCCCGGGTACTCCCCATCTCTCCAGTCTCTGCTGTGTAAAGGCCAATGGCTTGTATATGCCTCAGCCCGGGTACTCCCCATCTCTCCAGTCTCTGCTGTGTGAAGGCCAATGGCTTGTGTATGCTTCAGCCCGGGTACTCCCCATCTCTCCAGTCTCTGCTGTGTGAAGGCCAATGGCTTGTATATGCCTCAGCCCGGGGACTCCCCATCTCTCCAGTCTCTGCTGTGTAAAGGCCAATGGCTTGTGTATGCTTCAGCCCGGGTACTCCCCATCTCTCCAGTCTCTGCTGTGTAAAGGCCAATGGCTTGTATATGCCTCAGCCCGGGGACTCCCCATCTCTCCAGTCTCTGCTGTGTGAAGGCCAATGGCTTGTATATGCCTCAGCCCGGTGACTCCCCATCTCTCCAGTCTCTGCTGTGTGAAGGCCAATGGCTTGTATATGCCTCAGCCCGGTGACTCCCCATCTCTCCAGTCTCTGCTGTGTAAAGGCCAATGGCTTGTATATGCCTCAGCCCAGTGACTCCAAATATCTCCAGTCTCTGCTGTGTGAAGGCCAATGGCTTGTATATGCCTCAGCCCGGGGACTCCCCATCTCTCCAGTCTCTGCTGTGTAAAGGCCAATGGCTTGTGTATGCTTCAGCCCGGGTACTCCCCACTCTCCAGTCTCTGCTGTGTAAAGGCCAATGGCTTGTATATGCCTCAGCCCGGTGACTCCCCATCTCTCCAGTCTCTGCTGTGTAAAGGCCAATGGCTTGTATATGCCTCAGCCCGGTGACTCCCCATCTCTCCAGTCTCTGCTGTGTAAAGGCCAATGGCTTGTATATGCTTCAGCCCGGGGACTCCCCATCTCTCCAGTCTCTGCTGTGTGAAGGCCAATGGCTTGTATATGCCTCAGCCCGGTGACTCCCCATCTCTCCAGTCTCTGCTGTGTAAAGGCCAATGGCTTGTGTATGCTTCAGCCCGGGTACTCCCCATCTCTCCAGTCTCTGCTGTGTAAAGGCTAATGGCTTGTATATGCCTCAGCCCGGGTACTCCCCATCTCTCCAGTCTCTGCTGTGTGAAGGCCAATGGCTTGTGTATGCTTCAGCCCGGGTACTCCCCATCTCTCCAGTCTCTGCTGTGTGAAGGCCAATGGCTTGTATATGCCTCAGCCCGGGGACTCCCCATCTCTCCAGTCTCTGCTGTGTAAAGGCCAATGGCTTGTGTATGCTTCAGCCCGGGTACTCCCCATCTCTCCAGTCTCTGCTGTGTAAAGGCCAATGGCTTGTATATGCCTCAGCCCGGGGACTCCCCATCTCTCCAGTCTCTGCTGTGTGAAGGCCAATGGCTTGTATATGCCTCAGCCCGGTGACTCCCCATCTCTCCAGTCTCTGCTGTGTGAAGGCCAATGGCTTGTATATGCCTCAGCCCGGTGACTCCCCATCTCTCCAGTCTCTGCTGTGTAAAGGCCAATGGCTTGTATATGCCTCAGCCCAGTGACTCCAAATATCTCCAGTCTCTGCTGTGTGAAGGCCAATGGCTTGTATATGCCTCAGCCCGGGGACTCCCCATCTCTCCAGTCTCTGCTGTGTAAAGGCCAATGGCTTGTGTATGCTTCAGCCCGGGTACTCCCCACTCTCCAGTCTCTGCTGTGTAAAGGCCAATGGCTTGTATATGCCTCAGCCCGGGGACTCCCCATCTCTCCAGTCTCTGCTGTGTGAAGGCCAATGGCTTGTGTATGCCTCAGCCCGGTGACTCCCCATCTCTCCAGTCTCTACTGTGTGAAGGCCAATGGCTTGTATATGCCTCAGCCCGGTGACTCCCCATCTCTCCAGTCTCTGCTGTGTGAAGGCCAATGGCTTGTATATGCCTCAGCCCGGTGACTCCCCATCTCTCCAGTCTCTACTGTGTGAAGGCCAATGGCTTGTATATGCCTCAGCCCGGTGACTCCCCATCTCTCCAGTCTCTACTGTGTGAAGGCCAATGGCTTGTATATGCCTCAGCCCGGTGACTCCCCATCTCTCCAGTCTCTACTGTGTGAAGGCCAATGGCTTGTATATGCCTCAGCCCGGTGACTCCCCATCTCTCCAGTCTCTGCTGTGTAAAGGCCAATGGCTTGTATATGCCTCAGCCCGGTGACTCCCCATCTCTCCAGTCTCTGCTGTGTGAAGGCCAATGGCTTGTATATGCCTCAGCCCGGTGACTCCCCATCTCTCCAGTCTCTACTGTGTGAAGGCCAATGGCTTGTATATGCCTCAGCCCGGTGACTCCCCATCTCTCCAGTCTCTACTGTGTGAAGGCCAATGGCTTGTATATGCCTCAGCCCGGTGACTCCCCATCTCTCCAGTCTCTACTGTGTGAAGGCCAATGGCTTGTATATGCCTCAGCCCGGTGACTCCCCATCTCTCCAGTCTCTGCTGTGTAAAGGCCAATGGCTTGTATATGCCTCAGCCCGGTGACTCCCCATCTCTCCAGTCTCTACTGTGTGAAAGCCAATGGCTTGCGCGATCCTGATTTGGAAGAAAACTTGCCCCAAACGACGTTAAAACAGACCCACTCACTTACTCAATATTATATAATGTAAACATATTATCCAAATAATGGGTGGGTATACTGTTTAATGGGTGCGTAACAATCTCTGTTTTTTTCAGGGCAAGTTCAAATTAATCCGCTTCAGTTTGACAGTACCAGCTATTCACCTAACTCCTCGCCCACCAACAGCACACGTATTCAAGATCTACCCGCTAACATCAGCAGGGATAACTCGTCGTTGCCCATCAACAACACAAGTATTCAAGATCTACCCGCTAACATCAGCAGGGATAACTCGTCCTTGCCCATCAACAACACAAGTATTCAAGATCTACCCGCTAACATCAGCAGGAATAACTCGTCCTTGCCCATCAACAGCACAAGTATTCAAGATCTACCCGCTAACATCAGCAGGGATAACTCGTCCTTCCCCATCAACAACACAAGCATTCACGATCCACCCGCTAACATCAGCAGGGAGAATTCGTCCTTGCCCATCAATAACACAAGTATTCAAGATCTACCCGCTAACATCAGCAGGGATAACTCGTCCTTGCCCATCAACAACACACGTTTTCAAGATCTACCCGCTAACATCAGCAGAGACAACTCGTCGTTGCCCATCAACAACACAAATATTGGCAGTGAACACATGAATGTCTCATCACGTTTTTCTGATGAAACAAGAACAAGCCCATCTCAAGGCGACTTGACCGGTACGTGAATGACAACCACAAGAACCCCCTTGACTGGTAGGTGTATGAGAGCTACGAGTAGCCCCTTGACTGGTGGTTGTATGAGAGCCACGAGTAGACCCTTGACTGGTGGGTGTATGAGAGCCACAAGTAGACCCTTGACTGGTGGGTATATGAGAGCCACGAGTAGACCCTTGACTGGTAGGTGTATGAGAGCTACGAGAAGCCCATTGACTGGTGGTTGTATGAGAGCCACGAGTAGACCCTTGACTGGTGGGTGTATGAGAGCCCCAAGTAGACCCTTGACTGGTGGGTATATGAGAGCCACGAGTAGACCCTTGACTGGTAGGTGTATGAGAGCCACGAGTAGACCCTTGACTGGTGGGTGTATGAGAGCCACGAGTAGACCCTTGACTGGTGGTTGTATGAGAGCCACAAGTAGACCCTTGACTGGTGGGTATATGAGAGCCACGAGTAGACCCTTGACTGGTGGGTGTATGAGAGCCACGAGTAGACCCTTGACTGGTGGTTGTATGAGAGCCACGAGTAGACCCTTGACTGGTGGTTGTATGAGAGCGCCAAGTAGACCCTTGACTGGTTGGTATATGAGAGCCACGAGTAGACCCTTGACTGGTGGGTGTATGAGAGCCACGAGTAGACCCTTGACTGGTGAATGTATGAGAGCCACGAGTAGACCATTGTCTGGTGGGTGTATGAGAGCCACGAGTAGACCATTGTCTGGTGGGTGTATGAGAGCCACGAGTAGACCATTGTCTGGTGGGTGTATGAGAGCCACGAGTAGACCATTGTCTGGTGGGTGTATGAGAGCCACGAGTAGACCCTTGACTGGTGGGTGTATGAGAGCCACGAGTAGACCCTTGACTGGTGGGTGTATGAGGGCCACGAGTAGACCATTGTCTGGTGGGTGTATGAGAGCCACGAGTAGACCCTTGACTGGTGGGTGTATGAGAGCCACGAGTAGACCATTGTCTGGTGGGTGTATGAGAGCCACGAGTAGACCCTTGACTGGTGGGTGTATGAGAGCGCCAAGTAGACCCTTGACTGGTTGGTATATGGGAGCCACGAGTAGACCCTTGACTGGTGAATGTATGAGAGCCACGAGTAGACCATTGTCTGGTGGGTGTATGAGAGCCACGAGTAGACCCTTGACTGGTGGGTGTATGAGAGCCACGAGTAGACCATTGTCTGGTGGGTGTATGAGAGCCACGAGTAGACCATTGTCTGGTGGGTGTATGAGAGCCACGAGTAGACCATTGTCTGGTGGGTGTATGAGAGCCACGAGTAGACCCTTGACTGGTGAATGTATGAGAGCCACAAGTAGACCATTGTCTGGTGGGTGTATGAGAGCCACGAGTAGACCCTTGACTGGTGGGTGTATGAGAGCCACGAGTAGACCCTTGACTGGTGGGTGTATGAGAGCCACGAGTAGACCCTTGACTGGTGGGTGTATGAGAGCCACGAGTAGACCCTTGACTGGTGGGTGTATGAGAGCCACGAGTAGACCCTTGACTTGTGGGTGTATGAGAGCCACGAGTTGACCATTGTCTGGTGGGTGTATGAGAGCCACGAGTAGACCCTTGACTGGTGGGTGTATGAGAGCCACGAGTAGACCCTTGACTTATGGGTGTATGAGAGCCACGAGTAGACCCTTGACTGGTGGGTGTATGAGAGCCACGAGTAGACCCTTGACCGGTGAATGTATGAGAGCCACGAGTAGACCATTGTCTGGTGGGTGTATGAGAGCCACGAGTAGACCCTTGACTGGTGGGTGTATGAGAGCCACGAGTAGACCCTTGACTGGTGGGTGTATGAGAGCCACGAATAGACCATTGTCTGGTGGGTGTATGAGAGCCACGAGTAGACCCTTGACTGGTGGGTGTATATGAGCGCCAAGTAGACCCTTGACTGGTTGGTATATGAGAGCCACGAGTAGACCCTTGACTGGTGAATGTATGAGAGCCACGAGTAGACCATTGTCTGGTGGGTGTATGAGAGCCACGAGTAGACCATTGTCTGGTGGGTGTATGAGAGCCACGAGTAGACCCTTGACTGGTGGGTGTATGAGAGCCACGAGTAGACCATTGTCTGGTGGGTGTATGAGAGCCACGAGTAGACCCTTGACTTGTGGGTGTATGAGAGCCACGAGTAGACCCTTGACTTGTGGGTGTATGAGAGCCACGAGTAGACCCTTGACTGGTGGGTGTATGAGAGCCACGAGTAGACCCTTGACCGGTGGGTGTATGAGAGCCACGAGTAGACCCTTGACTGGTGGGTGTATGAGAGCCACGAGTAGACCCTTGACTTGTGGGTGTATGAGAGCCACGAGTAGACCCTTGACTGGTGGGTGTATGAGAGCCACGAGTAGACCCTTGACCGGTGAATGTATGAGAGCCACGAGTAGACCATTGTCTGGTGGGTGTATGAGAGCCACGAGTAGACCCTTGACTGGTGGGTGTATGAGAGCCACGAGTAGACCCTTGACTGGTGGGTGTATGAGAGCCACGAATAGACCATTGTCTGGTGGGTGTATGAGAGCCACGAGTAGACCCTTGACTGGTGGGTGTATGAGAGCGCCAAGTAGACCCTTGACTGGTTGGTATATGAGAGCCACGAGTAGACCCTTGACTGGTGAATGTATGAGAGCCACGAGTAGACCATTGTCTGTCGGGTGTATGAGAGCCACGAGTAGACCATTGTCTGGTTGGTGTATGAGAGCCACGAGTAGACCCTTGACTGGTGAATGTATGAAAGCCACGAGTAGACCCTTGACTGGTGGGTGTATGAGAGCCACGAGTAGACCCTTGACTGGTGGGTGTATGAAAGCCACGAGTAGACCCTTGACTGGTGGGTGTATGAGAGCCACGAGTAGACCCTTGACTGGTGGGTGTATGAGAGCGCCAAGTAGACCCTTGACTGGTTGGTATATGAGAGCCACGAGTAGACCCTTGACTGGTGAATGTATGAGAGCCACGAGTAGACCATTGTCTGGTGGGTGTATGAGAGCCACGAGTAGACCATTGTCTGGTGGGTGTATGAGAGCCACGAGTAGACCCTTGACTGGTGGGTGTATGAGAGCCACGAGTAGACCCTTGACTGGTGGGTGTATGAGAGCCACGAGTAGACCCTTGACTGGTGGGTGTATGAAAGCCACGAGTAGACCCTTGACTGGTGGGTGTATGAGAGCCACGAGTAGACCCTTGACTTGTGGGTGTATGAGAGCCACGAGTAGACCATTGTCTGGTGGGTGTATGAGAGCCACGAGTAGACCCTTGACTTGTGGGTGTATGAGAGCCACGAGTAGACCCTTGACTTGTGGGTGTATGAGAGCCACGAGTAGACCCTTGACTGGTGGGTGTATGAGAGCCACGAGTAGACCCTTGACCGGTGGGTGTATGAGAGCCACGAGTAGACCCTTGACTGGTGGGTGTATGAGAGCCACGAGTAGACCCTTGACTTGTGGGTGTATGAGAGCCACGAGTAGACCCTTGACTGGTGGGTGTATGAGAGCCACGAGTAGACCCTTGACCGGTGAATGTATGAGAGCCACGAGTAGACCATTGTCTGGTGGGTGTATGAGAGCCACGAGTAGACCCTTGACTGGTGGGTGTATGAGAGCCACGAGTAGACCCTTGACTGGTGGGTGTATGAGAGCCACGAATAGACCATTGTCTGGTGGGTGTATGAGAGCCACGAGTAGACCCTTGACTGGTGGGTGTATGAGAGCGCCAAGTAGACCCTTGACTGGTTGGTATATGAGAGCCACGAGTAGACCCTTGACTGGTGAATGTATGAGAGCCACGAGTAGACCATTGTCTGGTGGGTGTATGAGAGCCACGAGTAGACCATTGTCTGGTGGGTGTATGAGAGCCACGAGTAGACCCTTGACTGGTGAATGTATGAGAGCCACGAGTAGACCATTGTCTGGTGGGTGTATGAGAGCCACGAATAGACCCTTGACTGGTGGGTGTATGAGAGCCACGAGTAGACCCTTGACTGGTGGGTGTATGAGAGCCACGAGTAGACCCTTGACTGGTGTGTGTATGGGAGCCACGAGTAGACCCTTGACTGGTGGGTGTATGAGAGCCACGAGTAGACCATTGTCTGGTGGGTGTATGAGAGCCACGAGTAGACCCTTGACTTGTGGGTGTATGAGAGCCACGAGTAGACCCTTGACTTGTGGGTGTATGAGAGCCACGAGTAGACCCTTGACTGGTGGGTGTATGAGAGCCACGAGTAGACCCTTGACCGGTGGGTGTATGAGAGCCACGAGTAGACCCTTGACTGGTGGGTGTATGAGAGCCACGAGTAGACCCTTGACTTGTGGGTGTATGAGAGCCACGAGTAGACCCTTGACTTGTGGGTGTATGAGAGCCACGAGTAGACCCTTGACTGGTGGGTATATGAGAGCCACGAGTAGACCCTTGACTTGTGGGTATATGAGAGCCACGAGTAGTCCCTTGGCTGGTGGGTGTATGAGAGCCACGAGTAGACCATTTGACTGGTGGGTGTATGAGAGCGACGAGTAGCTTCTTGACTGGTGGGTGTATGAGAGCCACCAGTAGCCCCTTGACTTGTAGGTGTATTAGAGCCACTAGTACCGATTGGCCAGGATACGTTGACGTTTTCGTTCATCATAACTATTTGAAAGTGAATTATAAACGCATGCTCATGATATAGTCGGAATCGTAAAATCGAGAGCTCGAGAAATAAAAGAGATTTATATTGGATGTGGAAAAGGGTTGTGTCGCTTTATATTCATTGTAAAGGTGTTGACTTAAATGTAGAAAGTTGTAGGAAACAACAAGGTTTTGGTGTAAAGAAGGTCCACGTCATGCTGCTGAACGAGAGCAAGTTTAAACATTGGTACTTTTCATCTTTGAAAACAGCTTGAAGGTCATATACGAGAGTGATTCTGAGCTTACGAGTATTTCTATCCTTGGACGAAAAAGATAGAGGAAAAGCCATTTAAAATGATAATTGAGTCAATACATCTTCTACTGCAGCGACAACAACAGCTCCCACGATGACAACATCATCTGTTCACGATGCCTGTCCCGGGGGTCAGTTTTCCTGCATGAGAGGGATCTGCATCTCCCGGGCATGGACGTGCGATGGCGAGAGGGACTGCCCGGATGGAAGTGATGAGTCACGTGACACGTGTCCCTCTGGGGCGTCCCCGTGCGGTCAGGGAGAGGTCAGCTGCACGGACGGCACGTGTTACAACAAGGAGTGGCAATGTGATGGGGAGTTCGACTGCGTGGACAGGAGTGATGAACACCCGGCATTGTGTCGTGAGTACCAAACATTCTACCATGATCTCTGGAGATGTGTTTTGTCAGTAGTTAGGTCCAGAACACGTGATCTCTGGAGATGTGTTCTGTCTACCATGATCTCTGGAGATGACTTCTGTCTACCATGATCTCTGGAGATGAGTTCTGTCTACCATGATCTCTGGAGATGAGTTCTGTCTACCATGATCTCTGGAGATGTGTTCTGTCTACCATGATCTCTGGAGATGTGTTCTGTGTACCATGATCTCTGGAGATGAGTTCTGTCTACCATGATCTCTGGAGATGTGTTCTGTCTACCATGATCTCTGGAGATGTGTTCTGTCTACCATGATCTCTGGAGATGTGTTCTGTCTACCATGATCTCTGGAGATGTGTTCTGTCTACCATGATCTCTGGAGATGACTTCTGTCTACCATGATCTCTGGAGGTGACTTCTGTCTACCATGATCTCTGGAGATGTGTTCTGTTTACCATGATCTCTGGAGATGTGTTCTGTGTACCATGATCTCTGGAGATGTGTTCTGTCTACCATGATCTCTGGAGATGTGTTCTGTCTACCATGATCTCTGGAAATGAGTTCTGTCTACCATGATCTCTGGAGATGTGTTCTGTCTACCATGATCTGTGGAGATGTGTTCTGTCTACCATGATCTCTGGAGTTGAGTTCTGTCTACCATGATCTCTGGAGATGTGTTCTGTCTACCATGATCTCTGGAGATGTGTTCTGTCTACCATGATCTCTGGAGATGTGTTCTGTCTACCATGATATCTGGAGATAAGTTCTGTCTACCATGATCTCTGGAGATGACTTTTGTCTACCATGATCTCTGGAGATGAGTTCTGTCTACCTTGATCTCTGGAGATGTGTTCTGTCTACCATGATCTCTGGAGATGAGTTCTGTCTACCATGATCTCTGGAGATGAGTTCTGTCTACCATGATCTCTGGAGATGACTTCTGTCTACCATGATCTCTGGAGATGTGTTCTGTCTACCATGATCTCTGGAAATGTGTTTTGTCAGTAGTTAGGTCCAGAACACGCGATCTCTGGAGATGACTTCTGTCTACCATGATCCCTGGAGATGAGTTCTGTCTACCATGATCTCTGGAGATGACTTCTGTCTACCATGATCTCTGGAGATGTGTTCTGTCTACCATGATCTCTGGAGATGTGTTTTGTCAGTAGTTAGGTCCAGAACACGTGATCTCTGGAGATGTGTTCTGTCTACCATGATCTCTGGAGATGTGTTCTGTCTACCATGATCTCTGGAGATGTGTTCTGTCTACCATGATCTCTGGAGATGTGTTCTGTCTACCATGATCTCTGGAGATGTGTTCTGTGTACCATGATCTCTGGAGATGAGTTCTGTCTACCATGATCTCTGGAGATGTGTTCTGTCTACCATGATCTCTGGAGATGTGTTCTGTCTACCATGATCTCTGGAGATGTGTTCTGTCTACCATGATCTCTGGAGATGTGTTCTGTCTACCATGATCTCTGGAGATGACTTCTGTCTACCATGATCTCTGGAGGTGACTTCTGTCTACCATGATCTCTGGAGATGTGTTCTGTTTACCATGATCTCTGGAGATGTGTTCTGTGTACCATGATCTCTGGAGATGTGTTCTGTCTACCATGATCTCTGGAGATGTGTTCTGTCTACCATGATCTCTGGAAATGAGTTCTGTCTACCATGATCTCTGGAGATGTGTTCTGTCTACCATGATCTGTGGAGATGTGTTCTGTCTACCATGATCTCTGGAGTTGAGTTCTGTCTACCATGATCTCTGGAGATGTGTTCTGTCTACCATGATCTCTGGAGATGTGTTCTGTCTACCATGATCTCTGGAGATGTGTTCTGTCTACCATGATATCTGGAGATAAGTTCTGTCTACCATGATCTCTGGAGATGACTTTTGTCTACCATGATCTCTGGAGATGAGTTCTGTCTACCTTGATCTCTGGAGATGTGTTCTGTCTACCATGATCTCTGGAGATGAGTTCTGTCTACCATGATCTCTGGAGATGAGTTCTGTCTACCATGATCTCTGGAGATGACTTCTGTCTACCATGATCTCTGGAGATGTGTTCTGTCTACCATGATCTCTGGAAATGTGTTTTGTCAGTAGTTAGGTCCAGAACACGCGATCTCTGGAGATGACTTCTGTCTACCATGATCCCTGGAGATGAGTTCTGTCTACCATGATCTCTGGAGATGACTTCTGTCTACCATGATCTCTGGAGATGTGTTCTGTCTACCATGATCTCTGGAGATGTGTTTTGTCAGTAGTTAGGTCCAGAACACGTGATCTCTGGAGATGTGTTCTGTCTACCATGATCTCTGGAGATGTGTTCTGTCTACCATGATCTCTGGAGATGTGTTCTGTCTACCATGATCTCTGGAGATGTGTTCTGTCTACCATGATCTCTGGGGTTGAGTTCTGTCTACCATGATCTCTGGAGTTGAGTTCTGTCTACCATGATCTCTGGAGATGAGTTCTGTCTACCATGATCTCTGGAGTTGAGTTCTGTCTACCATGATTTCTGGAGATGTGTTCTGTCTACCATGATTTCTGGAGATGTGTTCTGTCTACCATGATCTCTGGAGATGTGTTCTGTCTACCATGATCTCTGGAGATGACTTCTGTCTACCATGATCTCTGGAGATGTGTTCTGTCTACCATGATCTCTGGAGATGTGTTTTGTCAGTAGTTAGGTCCAGAACACGTGATCTCTGGAGATGTGTTCTGTCTACCATGATCTCTGGAGATGTGTTCTGTCTACCATGATCTCTGGAGATGTGTTCTGTCTACCATGATCTCTGGAGTTGAGTTCTGTCTACCATGATCTCTGGAGATGAGTTCTGTCTACCATGATCTCTGGAGATGAGTTCTGTCTACCATGATCTCTGGAGTTGAGTTCTGTCACCATGATCTCTGGAGATGTGTTATGTCTACCATGATCTCTGGAGATGAGTTCTGTCTACCATGATCTCTGGAGATGTGTTCTGTCTACCATGATCTCTGGAGATGTGTTCTGTCTACCATGATCTCTGGAGATGAGTTCTGTCTACCATGATCTCTGGAGATGACTTCTGTCTACCATGATCTTTGGAGATGTGTTCTGTCTACCATGATCTCTGGAGATGTGTTCTGTCTACCATGATCTCTGGAAATGTGTTTTGTCAGTAGTTAGGTCCAGAACACGCAATCTCTGGAGATGACTTATGTCTACCATGATCTCTGGAGATGAGTTCTGTCTACCATGATCTCTGGAGATGACTTCTGTCTACCATGATCTCTGGAGATGTGTTCTGTCTACCATGATCTCTGGAGATTTGTTTTGTCAGTAGTTAGGTCCAGAACACGTGATCTCTGGAGATGTGTTCTGTCTACCATGATCTCTGGAGATGTGTTCTGTCTACCATGATCTCTGGAGATGTGTTCTGTCTACCATGATCTCTGGAGTTGAGTTCTGTCTACCATGATCTCTGGAGATGAGTTCTGTCTACCATGATCTCTGGAGATGAGTTCTGTCTACCATGATCTCTGGAGTTGAGTTCTGTCTACCATGATCTCTGGAGATGTGTTCTGTCTACCATGATCTCTTGAGATGAGTTCTGTCTACCATGATCTCTGGAGATGTGTTCTGTCTACCATGATCTCTGGAGATGTGTTCTGTCTACCATGATCTCTGGAGATGTGTTCTGTCTACCATGATCTCTGGAGATGTGTTCTGACTACCATGATCTTTGGAGATGACTTCTGTCTACCATGATCTCTGGAGATGTGTTCTGTCTACCATGATCTCTGGAGATGTGTTCTGTCTACCATGATCTCTGGAGATGTGTTCTGTCTACCATGATCTCTGGAGATGACTTCTGTCTACCATGATCTCTGGAGATGTGTTCTGTCTACCATGATCTCTGGAGATGACTTCTGTCTACCATGATCTCTGGAGATGACTTCTGTCTACCATGATCTCTGGAGATGACTTCTGTCTACCATGATCTCTGGAGATGTGTTCTGTGTACCATGATCTCTGGAAATGTGTTTTGTCAGTAGTTAGGTCCAGAACACGTGATCTTTGGAGATGTGTTCTGTCTACCATGATCTCTGGAGATGTGTTCTGTCTACCATGATCTCTGGAGATGTGTTCTGTCTACCATGATCTCTGGAGATGTGTTCTGTCTACCATGATCTCTGGAGATGAGTTCTGTCTACCATGATCTCTGGAGATGAGTTCTGTCTACCATGATCTCTGGAGATGAGTTCTGTCTACCATGATCTCTGGAGATGTGTTTTGTCTACCATGATCTCTGGAGATGTGTTCTATGTACCATGATCTCTGGAGATGTGCTCTGTCTACCATGATCTCTGGAGATGAGTTCTGTCTACCATGATCTCTGGAGATGAGTTCTGTCTACCATGATCTCTGGAGATGAGTTCTGTCTACCATGATCTCTGGAGATGAGTTCTGTCTACCATGATCTCTGGTGATGAGTTCTGTCAGTAGTTAGGTCTACAACACGTGATCTCTGGAGATGAGTTCTGTCAGTGGTTAGGTCCAGAACACGTGATCTCTGGAGATGAGTTCTGTCAGTAGTTAGGTCTACAACACGTGATCTCTTTAGATGTGTTCTGTCAGTAGTTAGGACTACAACAAGTGATCTATTTAGATGTGTTCTGTCAGTAGTTAGGACTACAACACGTGATCTCTTGTGATGTGTTCTGTCAGTAGTTAGGGCTACAACACATAATGTCGACCGAGAAACTTGAATCTGCCTGTTGACAAGTGATCTCTACCACTACCATGTTCTTTGTATCATGTAAGATGTAAGTGATATTCACTTTGAGACAATGTATACAATGTAAACACTACCTGTTTTTTATGTGAAGTTTATCTTCACATGAATACGTTAAACAAAATTCATTTCAGACCCAACATCAGCGTTGAGGTATCGCAACATCTGCACGGGCGACGAATTTCAATGCGATGAAGGTAAATGTATTGCACGTGATAGGGTCTGTGATGGACAGAAGTCCTGTGTTGATGGGAGTGACGAGGATCCGTCCACGTGTCCTCCTCCCCAGTGCCAGACAGGAGACGTCGCGTGCAGTGATGGCTCGTGTTACTCCGCATCGTTGACGTGTGACGGTCACTACGACTGTGAGGACGGAAGTGACGAGCGCCGAGACATGTGTGATGAGTCATCGCAATCGCCTCAACATGAAGGTCAGTGTCAAAGAAGAACATTCTCCACGTTAAATAAATCTACAACTGTGCTGTTCACGTAATTCAACCAAAAAAATATTTGTCAACTAAACCTCGTCTGATACAATATCAGCATAAGTGAAAGTACTGCTGCTGTGTAAACAATTTATAAATGACAGAATTCACTCCGACTCCTCTGATCGTATACAGATCATAAGTCGATATTGTGGAACAAATGAAAAAAATTATTTTTGTTTGTCAAATATGTGTCTGTTGCCCTGATTAACATGGGCAATACCGGGTGTCCAGTCCGACCGATGTTGATTGCCGGAGTCCTCGGGAAGCAAAAGCTAAGGATGATTGACCTGTCACGTTATTCCGTGAAGACGATCTTCGCACCTTTCCCTGCACCTGGAGACATCGGATTCGGTGTCATTGACGTGGATGTCGTCAACAGACAGCTGTACTGGTGTGATGAGCAGGGAAGGAATATTTACACGTGAGTTAGCTGTACTGGTGTGATGAGCAGGGAAGGAACATTTACACGTGAGTTAGCTGTACTGGTGTGATGAGCAGGGAAGGAACATTTACACGTGAGTTAGCTGTACTGGTGTGATGAGCAGGGAAGGAACATTTACACGTGAGTTAGCTGTACTGGTGTGATGAGCAGGGAAGGAACATTTACACGTGAGTTAGCTGTACTGGTGTGATGAGCAGGGAAGGAACATTTACACGTGAGTTAGCTGTACTGGTGTGATGAGCAGGGAAGGAACATTTACACGTGAGTTAGCTGTACTGGTGTGATGAGCAGGGAAGGAACATTTACACGTGAGTTAGCTGTACTGGTGTGATGAGCAGGAAAGGAACATTTACATGTGAGTTAGCTGTACTGGTGTGATGAGCAGTGAAGGAACATTTACACGTGAGTTAGCTGTACTGGTGTGATGAGCAGTGAAGGAATATTTACACGTGAGTTACCTGTACTTGTGTGATGAGCAGGGAAGGAACATTTACACGTGAGTTAGCTGTACTGGTGTGATGAGCAGAGAAGGAATATTTACACGTGAGTTACCTGTACTGGTGTGATGAGCAGTGAAGGAATATTTACACGTGAGTTACCTGTACTGGTGTGATGAGCAGTGAAGGAATATTTACACGTGAGTTACCTGTACTGGCGTGATGAGCAGGGAAGAAACATTTTCACGTGAGTAACTTGCACTGGTGCGATAGGCCTGGAAGGAAAATTTAAACGTGAGTTACCTGTACTGGTGTGATAAGCAGTGAAGGAATATTTACACGTGAGTTAGCTGTACTGGTGTGATAAGCAGTGATGGAATATTTACACGTCCGTTACCTGTACTGGTGTGATAAGCAGTGAAGGAACATTTACACGTCCGTTACCTGTACTGGTGTGATAAGCAGTGAAGGAACATTTACACGTGAGTTACCTGTACTGGTCTGATAAGCAGTGAAGGAATATTTACACATGAGTTACCTGTCCTGGTGTGATAAGCAGTGAAGGAATATTTACACGTGAGTAAGCTGTACTGGTGTGATGAGTAGGGATGGAATATTTACACCTGAGTAACCTGTACTGGTGTGATGAGCAGGGAAGGAACATTTACACGTGAGTTACCTGTACTGGTGTGATAAGCAGTGAAGGAATATTTACACGTGAGTTAGATGTACTGGTGTGAAAAGCAATGAAGGAATATTTACACGTGAGTTAGCTGTTCTGGTGTGATGAGCAGGGAAGGAACATTTAAACGTGAGTAAGCTGTACTGGTGTGATAGGCAGTAAAGGAATATTTACACGTGAGTTTCCTATACTGGTGCGATAAGCAGTGAAGGAATATTTACACGTGAGTTACCTGTACTGGTGTGGAAAGCAGTGAAGGAATATTTACACGTGAGTTAGATGTACTGGTGTGATGAGCACGGAAGGAACATTTACACGTGAGTTAGCTGTACTGGTGTGATGAGCAGTGAAGGAATATTTACACGTGAGTTACTTGTACTGGTGTGATGAGCAGTGAAGGAATATTTACACGTGAGTTAGCTGTACTTGTGTGATGAGCAGTGAAGGAATATTTACACGTGAGTTACCTGTACTGGTGTGATGAGCAGTGAAGGAATATTTACACGTGAGTTAGCTGTACTTGTGTGATGAGTAGGGATGGAATACTTACACATGAGTTAGCTGTACTGGTGTGATGAGCAGGGAAGGAACATTTACATGTGAGTTACCTGTACTGGTGTGATAAGCAGTGAAGGAATATTTACACGTGAGTAACCGAAACAAGTGTGACAAGCAGTGAAGGAATATTTACACGTGAGTTACCTGTACTGGTGTGATGAGTAGGGAAGGAACATTTACACGTGAGTTACCTGCCCTGGTGCGATAAGCCTGAAAGGAACATTTACACGTGAGTTACCTGTACTGGTGTGATAAGCAGTGAAGGAATGTTTACACGTGAGTTAGCTGTACTGGTGTGATGAGCAGGAAAGGAACATTTTCACGTGAGTTAGATGTACTGGTGTGATGAGCAATGAAGGAACATTTACAGGTGAGTTAGCTGTCCTGGTGTGATAAGCAGTGAAGAAATATTTAAACGGGAGTTAGCTGTACTGGTGTGATGAGCAGGAAAGGAATAGCTACACGTGATTTAGCTGTACTGGTGTGATGAGCAGGGAAGGAACATTTACACGTAAGTTAGCTATACTGGTGTGATAGGCAGTAAAGGAATATTTACACGTGAGTTACCTGTACTGGTGTGATAAGCAGTGTAGGAATATTTCCACGTGAGTTACCTGTACTGGTGTGAAAAGCAGTGAAGGAATATTTACACGTGAGTAAGCTGTACCGGTGTGATCAGTAGGGATGGAATATTTACACGTGATTAACCTGTACTGGTGTGATGAGCAGGGAAGGAACATTTACACGTGAGTTAGCTGTACTGGTGTGATAAGCAGTAAAGGAATATTTACACGTGAGTTAGATGTACTGGTGTGATCAGTAGGGATGGGATATTTACACGTGAGTTAGCTGTACTTGTGTGATGAGCAGTGAAGGAATATTTACACTTGAGTTACCTGTACTGGTGTGATGAGCAGTGAAGGAATATTTACACGTGAGTTAGCTGTGCTGGTGTGATGAGTAGTGATGGAATACTTACACATGAGTTAGCTGTACTGGTGTGATGAGCAGGGAAGGAACATTTACACGTGAGTTACCTGTACTGGTGTGATAAGCAGTGAAGGAATATTTACACGTGAGTAACCGAAACAAGTGTGACAAGCAGTGAAGGAATATTTACACGTGAGTTACCTGTACTGGTGTGATGAGTAGGGAAGGAACATTTACACGTGAGTTACCTGCCCTGGTGCGATAAGCCTGAAAGGAACATTTACACGTGAGTTACCTGTACTGGTGTGATAAGCAGTGAAGGAATGTTTACACGTGAGTTAGCTGTACTGGTGTGATGAGCAGGAAAGGAACATTTTCACGTGAGTTACCTGTACTGGTGTGATGAGCAATGAAGGAACATTTACAGGTGAGTTAGCTGTCCTGGTGTGATAAGCAGTGAAGAAATATTTAAACGGGAGTTAGCTGTACTGGTGTGATGAGCAGGAAAGGAATAGCTACACGTGATTTAGCTGTACTGGTGTGATGAGCAGGGAAGGAACATTTACACGTAAGTTAGCTATACTGGTGTGATAGGCAGTAAAGGAATATTTACACGTGAGTTACCTGTACTGGTGTGATAAGCAGTGTAGGAATATTTACACGTGAGTTACCTGTACTGGTGTGAAAAGCAGTGAAGGAATATTTACACGTGAGTAAGCTGTACCGGTGTGATCAGTAGGGATGGAATATTTACACGTGATTAACCTGTACTGGTGTGATGAGCAGGGAAGGAACATTTACACGTGAGTTAGATGTACTGGTGTGATGAGCACGGAAGGAACATTTACACGTGAGTTAGCTGTACTGGTGTGATGAGCAGTGAAGGAATATTTACACGTGAGTTACTTGTACTGGTGTGATGAGCAGTGAAGGAATATTTACACGTGAGTTAGATGTACTGGTGTGATGAGCACGGAAGGAACATTTACACGTGAGTTAGCTGTACTTGTGTGACAAGCAGTGAAGGAATATTTACACGTGAGTTACCTGTACTGGTGTGAAAAGCAGTGTAGGAATATTTACACGTGAGTTACCTGTACTGGTGTGAAAAGCAGTGAAGGAATATTTACACGTGAGTAAGCTGTACCGGTGTGATCAGTAGGGATGGAATATTTACACGTGATTAACCTGTACTGGTGTGATGAGCAGGGAAGGAACATTTACACGTGAGTTAGCTGTACTGGTGTGATAAGCAGTAAAGGAATATTTACACGTGAGTTAGATGTACTGGTGTGATCAGTAGGGATAGGATATTTAAACGTGAGTTAGCTGTACTTGTGTGATGAGCAGTGAAGGAATATTTACACGTGAGTTACCTGTACTGGTGTGATGAGCAGTGAAGGAATATTTACACGTGAGTTAGCTGTACTTGTGTGACAAGCAGTGAAGGAATATTTACACGTGAGTTACCTGTACTGGTGTGAAAAGCAGTGTAGGAATATTTACACGTGAGTTACCTGTACTGGTGTGATGAGCACGGAAGGAACATTTACACGTGAGTTAGCTGTACTTGTGTGATGAGCAGTGAAGGAATATTTACACGTGAGTTACTTGTACTGGTGTGATGAGCAGTGAAGGAATATTTACACGTGAGTTAGCTGTACTTGTGTGACAAGCAGTGAAGGAATATTTACACGTGAGTTACCTGTACTGGTGTGAAAAGCAGTGTAGGAATATTTACACGTGAGTTACCTGTACTGGTGTGAAAAGCAGTGAAGGAATATTTACACGTGAGTAAGCTGTACCGGTGTGATCAGTAGGGATGGAATATTTACACGTGATTAACCTGTACTGGTGTGATGAGCAGGGAAGGAACATTTACACGTGAGTTAGCTGTACTGGTGTGATAAGCAGTAAAGGAATATTTACACGTGAGTTAGATGTACTGGTGTGATCAGTAGGGATAGGATATTTACACGTGAGTTAGCTGTACTTGTGTGATGAGCAGTGAAGGAATATTTACACGTGAGTTACCTGTACTGGTGTGATGAGCAGTGAAGGAATATTTACACGTGAGTTAGCTGTGCTGGTGTGATGAGTAGGGATGGAATACTTACACATGAGTTAGCTGTACTGGTGTGATGAGCAGGGAAGGAACATTTACATGTGAGTTACCTGTACTGGTGTGATAAGCAGTGAAGGAATATTTACACGTGAGTAACCGAAACAAGTGTGACAAGCAGTGAAGGAATATTTACACGTGAGTTACCTGTACTGGTGTGATGAGTAGGGAAGGAACATTTACACGTGAGTTACCTGCCCTGGTGCGATAAGCCTGAAAGGAACATTTACACGTGAGTTACCTGTACTGG